GGGGCCACCCGCATCTCCTACCGCTGCTCCCAGAACAGGTAATCCCGACTGGAAGGACTGTGCTGAACACGCGGCCGAGTGCGGCAGCACAGCTTTTAGAGTCTGCTGTTTCCTCCAGGCTTGGCTCTGAGCAGCTGCCGTGTGCCAGCAACAGTGCTGGGTACTGGCCGTAGAAGATGAGGGAGTCCAGGAGCGGAGGCGGGCCGCTGTGCTGTTGGGCTGGATAGAATCTGTCGGGGCCCGAGGCTGCTGTGGGAGCCCAGTCTTTCTAGAGGAGGTAACATTGGCATCGAGTGCACCCGCTAAAATGGGTCTGGAGAGCAACGTGTGATGTCCTAGTGACAATGGAACTCAGGAGGCTTGCAGAAGCCAGGGACTCTGCTCAGCACTCCACCGCAGGGAGTTTGGACTTTCCCTGGAGAGTTTTCACAATGCCGTTCTTTGAAATAAAGCTGACAATAAATTAACAGAAAAAACGAACAACAAATTCATTAACATGGAGAAATAGAAGCCAGACACAAAATGTGAGGCTGAAACACAGGCCTTTTCATGGGGACAGGGAGGCAGGCAAATAGGAAATTTGGGGGGGGGGTAGTGAATTATTTTTAGGGTGGATAAATGGGCCAGAAGAACTGACAGTGGCCTAGTTCCTCTGGGTTCTAGATGTGATATTTGAGTTTCAGTCTGATGGCCAGTGCGCGGGCAGTGAGAAGAATTCTCAGACAAGGACCAGCCTTCAGGGAGGTTATTTGGAGGAGGATCACTGAGGAAGCACAGCAGGGACAGGACAGAGGGGGTCTGGGCTCACATGCACTTCTGAGTTTTTCATTCCCTTTGGTGGGCACTTTGCTAGGAGTGGTTTAGGCCAAGCAAGATTAGAAGACTGCTGTGCCTTGCCCATTATGCTTAGTGTGCATGTCCAAATGCTTATTTCTGGTTTGACTCTGGATTCATGAGATGCAAGTAATGAGTATGAGGTCTTAGACTCCAGCTTTCCCTTCTTAGGTTACTGGAGGTCAAATTTGGGTCTCTGCGGATGCTCCTCAGGATGGTTGGGCCATCTGTTGAAAAACAGGATCTTGTTTATTCTTCAGGGGTAGTTAGCTTCTCTGATCCACAGCAGCAGGATAAAAGGCAGGCCCTTAGCCTCGGTCACCTCTGCTAACAGAGGTGGGTGGAGCCTGGGAGAGGCCCCTCATCCAGCCTTCTTGAGTCTTCCTCCTGTGCAGTGCCTTTATAAGATTGTGGTTCTGAGAAGACAAGGCAGTGGTGTTCCAGTTTGGGCCACCCAATCAGGCAGGAGAAAGCTTTGCAGACAGCCTGCCCTTACACAGGGAGCGGAAACAAGGAAAGGTCAGATTGAAGACCTTACCCCATTTGCCCCATTGGTTACCTTAGATCCCTGATTAGGAAACCGGTTTCAACTTCCTCTCCATTGGCTACTTTAGGAAGCCTAATTAGAATTCTGTCCAATTAACCCCACTGGTCATTTTAAAATTCTGCACCTGCAGCGGGAGTTGTCATGGTAATGGGACACTGTGAAGAAGGGCATGACTGGTCTCCCTATCGTTGCCTCCAGTGGCACCCTTCTGTTACTCCGCTCTGCCATTTTGGAGTCTCTGAACTCCTACGTAAGACGTAACAGAGTGACAAGCATTCTGGGGTGGCACGCTCTTCCTCCATAGACCCAGAAAGGAGGAAGAGCCCCTGGACTGTGTATTGCAGAGGCTTCAGTGAGGAATGGAAAGCTTCTGTTAGATTGTCTAATAAAGAAGTTTTACGCTGTGGAAGGCCTAAGTGTCGTGTTCACTGAGCTTTCCTGTGGTGATGTATTCTGAGGATTATGTTCTGTTGAGCGAGAATAAAATCAACCTAGTTGAGAATAAAGAGGACTGCATTTTTGTGGGGCTAATTAGGATTGCAATCTGAGAAAATATAGATCCTCGCAGTCTTAACAATGTGCTCCAGGGGTTTACAAAATGGTGGCTATATTTAGAGTTTAAAAGCACCAGAGAGGCCTGGTCATTACATCACTGGTCGGTCAGGGACTGACTGGTGCTGGCAGAAGGTAAGGTTGGTGTGGATTCCGTCCCTGACAGTTGGGGGGAGGGAAGGAGGGCTCCCTGTCCAGCAGGTCAGCAGCGGCTCCAGTCCGACTTGCCTTAGATCTGACTAACAAGGCCCTCCCGAATTGTTTTCAGTGCCCTGAGCCAGTGAGACTCAATTTTGATGTTTTTTTTCTTGACACCTCTTTACCTTTTTAATTTACTTTGATCCTGAGCTTCAGAAAGGGTTAATGGTGGAAGAGAAGCTGTGTGGAATATGGAAAAGGAGACTGGCTTTGGAATCAGGATCCTGGGGTTCTAACAGTCCCACTGTCAATGAGAAGAAACTCTGCTTTCAGGAAATAAGAAACTAGTTTATTTTGAGTCAAATATTAGTGGCCATGGCCCGGGAGCACAGATTCAGGTCACCCTGAATGCCATGCTCCTCCATGAAAGAGCACAAAGAAAATGACAAATCAGTGTATTAATGAACACCGTGGGGACATTAGGTAGGTGGCTACAGTAAAACAGGAAAGCTTGTGACCAGAGTTTTAGAGTTAAGGCCCAGCTCGGGGGTCTCAACAGACTAGATCCAGCCCCCATCTGAAGGACCAATCCAAGAGCCTATCAGTGGCAAAGACAGGGAAGGAATGTGCAGCCCACCAGAGACACAGGGAGACCCACATCCTCAGTTGCCACAGTCTGGCTGGGCACAAGATCACGAGCCACTCACACCTTGTAGATTCAAACAGCAATTCTTGATTCCCGAACTCACACCGGCCCTATACAAACACGTTCTGGGGAAATTCAAGTTCTGCCGCCGCACAATTCACGTCCCAAATACTTTCTCAATTCCACGAGAACTCAACGGGAACTCAGGCAGCAGGAACGCCCTATTCCCAGCAGCAATAACCTTAAACCTGGAACTTCCCTAAACCCAGATTGTCTTAAACCGGAACGCCTTAAACTTGTCTTAAACCGGGAACGCCCTAAACCCAAGGAGCAGGATACTTCCTCAAACCTGCAGGATACACCTTAAACCTGGATCCACCCTGGTCCTTGAGCAGGGTCACCTTTCTCAAAGACACATGCAATGTCCAAGGCAAGTCCATTTAACATGGGGTACGCTGGCAAGGAAATTTCGATGCATCATTCCTACTTGGCAGTGGCCCTCAGCACTCAGTCCTGTCTTGCAGGGGGCTGTCATGAGCATAGACCAGGGATCAGAGGACACACAATTAAGGAGTCTTGGTCCAGCTGATACCGCCCGTCACCGGTTACGAGTTCTGCCCCCTCAAATGTTGAAGTTTGAACATTAGAGAAGCATGCCGAGTCAGGCATCTAAAGCAGGGTTTCTTTAAAAAGGGGTAACAGAGACTCTCCCTGGAGGCAGAAGGGGCCACGGCTGGTGTCCTGGTATCCCAGGAAGGAGGTGTTCTGCCCTTTTTATGTGTCCTAGGCTTCCTCTGTTCTCCTGCCTTCTCCTTCTTCTCTTTCTCCTTCCTGCCTAAGTGACTAGGCCCAGGAATGCTTGGTGGGATGCCCCAGAGGTGGGGAACAGGTGGGCTGAAGGGGGAAGGCAGGATGGAGCAGCTCCCTGTAGGGAGGGGCAACTCCTGGGTCCGGTGACCTTAGCAACAGTTGGAGCAGGGGCAGGTTCTTGATAAGGATGGAGGAAGGGCTCTGAAGGAGTTAACATCTCAATCCCTCAGGGGACAGTCTCCAACAAGCTGGAGTGACTCGAACTGACCTGACTCGATTTACCTACCTAGACCTCCTGTCTAATTCTGGCTTCAAAACTGTTACGAAACCTCGATTAGGGTCCCCAGTGCTAATCCAGTCAGGAGGACAGGGTTTTGACAAAAAGGGAGAAGGAGTTTTATTGTTTTACCAGCCAAGGAGAAGCACAGGGGAGTTCTGTGCGATTCCCAGGGAACAGGGTTTTTAAAGAGGTGACTTAAAGCGTCCATCCATGCGTTCCCCGGGGAAGTTGTAATTCACTTGTTAATTTGGGAGATACTCATTTCTGAGATCTTCAGGTGCCATCCCCAAAGTCTGGATTACTTGTTCCTGTGGTGGCTGAGTGCTCAGGAAAGACAACCCTGTCTAGGGTGGGGAAGAAAGGTAACCCTGTTTCCCTGAGATGAGGGAGGAGCTGGGAAAGGGGAAGAGGAAGAAGCACATCCACTTAAAAACTAAGTCCCAGTGGCCGAGTAGTAAGGGTTAATTCAAAGCATAGGGTGGGCCACTGTATAAAACTGGTCTGGTTGATTATTATCCCAGGGTTGGTGGGAGGAGGGTGGTTGTTGCCTGGTCAGTAGAGATATTTGCCCATCTGACCTGTGGTTGTGGAATCTGAGCTGATGGCAGGACAGAATGTCTTAAAGCAAAAGGGACAGATTCAAAATGGGGATTGTTAAACCCTGAGACAAAGACCACCGACTCCAATTTAAATCAAATTAAAGCAAGCTTGTAATTCCGACCGGCCGGGGCTGTCTCTCCAGAAACCCGTGGGAATAGAAGACAGCACCCCAGCTCTCTAGGAGCGCAGCTTTATAGCACAGGAAATTGCAAAAAGTGTGTGTGTGTGTGGGAGGATGTCTTGAGAACCTACAGATGACAGGATTTGGACCAGCATAACACAAAGGCAGGTAGTAGGCTAATGGTCTAAATGGTCCAGCACTTAGGGAGTAAATTTAGGTCCCGACGTCAGAATTTATGAAGCACCACTAGAGTTTCAGAGAGGGCTGCTATCTGGTCAGGGAAAGCCAGGCATGGGTGAGTTCAAGGCATGGGCAGGCATTCCAAGCAAGTTTAGAAATCGCAGTCATTTATAGTAAAGCCGAAATTAATTTTTCATGTCTTTGTGATGAGGTGGCTCCCAATCTTAAGAGGGAATTAGGCTGGGTGTATCAGGATTAGAGCCAGGTATGGTGGCTCGCACCTGTAATCCCAGCTACTTGGAAGGCCAAGGCAGAAAGGTTGCAAGTTCAAGACCAGCCTCTGCAACTTATAAAGACTCTCAAATAAAACATAAAAAGGGCTGGGGATGTGGCTCACAGCTAGGGTGCCTCTGGGTCCATCCCAGTACTCTCCTCCCCTAAATGGAGGGAGAGATGCTGAGTTTTTATCCTGCTGTG